GCAATTTGATCTCTAGTTCCTCTCCCTCTTCGAGATCCTGCCTGTACTTCTGGTAGTTCTCAGTCCACATACTGCTGGAGCCTAGCTTGTAGGATTTTGAGCATCACTTTGCTAGCATGTGAAATGAGTGCAATGCTGTGGTAGTTTGAACATTCTTTGGCATTGCTCTTCTTTGGGATTGGAATGTAAACTGACCTTTTCCAATACTGTGGCCACTGTTGGGTTTTCCAAATTTGCTGGCATATTGTATCTTACCCTTTCTCCCTTGCCTTTTGCTTCCCTTCTTTCCTCAGCTATTTGTAAAGCTTCCCCAGACAGTCATTTTGCTTCCTTGCATTTCTTTTTCTTTGGGATGGTTTTAGATGCAACCTCTTGTACAATGTGCTGAACCTCCGTCCATAGTTCTTCAGGCACTCTGTCTATCAGATCTAATTCCTTAAATCTATTTGTCATCTCTACTGTATATTCATCAGGGATATGATTTAGGTCATACCTGAGTGGCCTAGTGCTTTTCCCTACTTTCTTCAATTTAAGCCTAAATTTTGCAATGAGAAGCTCATGATCTGAGCCACAGTCAGCTCCTGGTCTAGTTTTTACTGACTGTGTAGAGCAGGGATCCTCGCACTTTTTCAGCAGAGGGCCAGTTGAAAGGTGCTGGTGCTAGCTGCGGGTCAGAAAGGTGGTGCTGGCAGTGCACATGGGCCGGTGAGGGGGTGGGGGCGGTGCGTGTGGGTGCGTGCACTGAGGTGGGCACGGGGCGAGGCACGGGCGGGCAGGCGCATGCAGTGAGGGGAGGGGAGGTAGGTGTGCGTGGCAGTGGCTTGGTCGCTTGGAGATTGTTTTCTCCAAGCGAGCAAACCGCTGCCTCCCTGCGTGTGGGGCGAGGTGGGCGGTGGCGGGTGTGCGCATGGGTGCAGCAGGTCCAAATGGGCATGGCAGGCTGGATAAATGGGCATGGTGGGCCGGATCTTACCCCCGGGCCTTTGTTTGAGGACTCATGGTGTAGAGCTTTGCCATCTTTGGCTGCAGAGCACATGATCTGATTTCTGTGTTGACCATCTGGTGTTGTCCATGTGTAGATTCGTCTCTTCAGTTGTTGGAAAAGTGTTTGCTATGACCAGCGTGTTCTCTTGACAAAATTCTTCCAGCCTTTGCCCTGCTTCATTTTGTACCCCAGTGCCAAAATTGCCTGTTATTCCAGTTATCTTTTGGCTTCCTACTTTAGCATTCCAATCCCCCATGATGATAAGGATATTATTTTTTTTGGTGTTATTTCTAGAAGGTGTTGTAGGCCTACAGAGAACCGGTCAACTTCAGCCTCTTCAGCATCAGTGGTTGGCGCATAGACTTGCACTACTGTGATGTTGACTGGTTTGCCTTGGATTCGAACTAAGATCATTCTGTCATTTTGGAGATTGTATCCCAGTACTGCTTTTCCTACTCTTTTATTGAGTATGAGGGCTACTCCATTTCTTCTGCACGATTCTTGCCCGCAGTAGTATACCTGATGGTCATTCATCCATTCCTGTCCATTTTAGTTCGCTGATTCCCAAGATGTCGATGTTCAATCTTGTCATCTCATGTTTGACCATGTCCAGCTTACCTTGATTCTTAGATCTTACATTCGAGGTTCCTATGCTGTAATGTTCTTTGCAGCATCAGACTTTCCTTTCACTACCAGATACATCTGCAACTGAGTGTCCCTTAATCTTGGACCCAGTTGCTTCATTCTTTCTGGTGCTGCTAATATTCATCCTCTGATCTTCCCCAGTAGCACATTGGACACCTTCTGACCTGAGGGGCTCATCTTCCGGAGTCATATCTTTTTGCCTTTAGGTACTGTCCATGGGGTTTTCATGGCAAGGATACTGGAGTGGGTTGCCATTTTCCTTCTTCTGCTATGACCTGTCCGTCTTGGGTGCCCCTGCACACCATAGCTCATAGCTTCATTGCGCTATACAAGCCCCTTTGCCATGGCAAGGCAGTGGTCCATGATTAATTAGTATAGTATAATTAGTATAATTATCAGTATAATTAATAAGTTGCTTAAAGCATTATAATCCCACATTTCACCAAAATAAGCTTATATAAATTAATAAAATCAAGACAGTCTGTTATAAAAAGATATAACACAAAAAGAGATGGAGAAGGTTGTGGGGAAAGGAAAGTTGTTCTTCACTAGAACTGATGGAACAGCCTTGTATCTCATCTCCCTTTGTTGCAGCTTTCTGGAAATAAATAATCAAATTTAGAATGAATCATAATAGAATTCAGAAAAGCTGCATAGTAAGCGTATTAGCTCCACAGATGCCCAACAGAGTAGACTGTATCATATAACAACTGTAGATTTCCGAGTTGCATTTTGAAAAATTAAAATTAAATCTCATTAAAACTCAGATTAAAAAATCAAGTAGATCTGGGAGCTGTCTTGCTTTAAGGAAGCCACTGGATGGCTTGCCCTTTCTCCTGTCGCTTTTAAAAACATGTTTCAGCTGTCTTGAAATACTTCGGGATTTATTGCTTGGATATAATATATTATTCCAAGGCAAGTATTGCAGCCTTAGACTCATGTATGGCTTCCAGCCATCATTCAGAAAGCCCATGTTTATCCAGACTTACCCTTACAATAGTCTTGGGAAGGAGGTTAGGCTGAAAGTAACTTGGCCAAAAGCAGCCAGTAAGCTTCAGGGACTGAACAGAGACTTGAACCCAGTCCTCTCTCATTTAATCCAATGGGCACATGCGCACCCATGTGCGTACCCCCTACATACAGACAGCTTCTACAGGACTAGTTCAGAAAGTGAACCCAAGGGCCACATGTGGCCTAGTATATCCCTCTGCACATCTGTTGCTGCAGGGTATACACTACTTTATACTGCAAGAAATCAGAGATAAGCATAGGGCTATTGGGATATGGGACGGGGAGGTGGAGGCTCCTTTCCTCAATGACCTAAACAGCCCGGGCTGGGCTTTGAAAGGGTTCACATGCAATTCCCTGCAAAACTAGATTTGGCTTTCAGGGCCAAAGGGTTTGCTTCAGCAGCCCCGTTCCACACAGAACCACTTCCCCTTTCAGTAAAACTGAGGAAGCAGCTTTATTCACATGTCCCTTTCAGTGCCTCCATTGTAGCAAATGGGGATGCATTTATATGAATCTGATCACCTTCACCTACTAAAGCTGCAGCCTGACCTATACCTGGTTTGAAATACTTTCAAGTAGACACGCATAGGATGGTGCTGAATAGATACTTGAAGCTGCACAATGAACTACTGGGAAAACATGAGTCAAACCTCCTCAGACACACTGTTTTCATTAGATCAGATTTGCTGTACATTTAAAAGTTAAGTCCACTATCCGAAGAGGCATAAAAAGAAGACTTTTGCACATTTTTAAAAGGCCCAGCTTCTTTCGGAGCATGGACATATTACCTGTTAAGATACCATGCTGTTCCTGCACCAAGAAGTTGTGATGTGTGTTAAAAATACAAGCTACTGAACTCCAAAATAAGGTAGTGGCAAGCCAGAGCCTCTCTATTAGCATTCACTTTTCCCAGAAAACTGAAACTCAGTATCACAGGTCAGTAAACATCCCGTAACAAAATTAGCATTTTCCCAAGTACAACCCCCAGAAGCTTTTGTGGAAGCCATGGCAATTAAACTGGTAGGAGACAGGCTTGTAGCAGAGATATGTCTTCAGTGAATATGTTTGTATTTGCATTTTCATTTTACACATGTATAAGAAATAGTGTCTAGCTGGAAAGCAGCATCCAATGAATGAAAACTGTTTCAAACAAAATTTAGGGCTATACTTAGAATTTTCTAAGCATTTTTTCTGTGCTTGGAGAAGAGGAGGGCTTCATATTCAGAAGAATTATGCAATCTCACAGTGACCTTAGGCAGGGGATTTTTTTTAGTCTGTTACTGTTGTTGCATTCAGCAGGATTTTATCCTTGCTTGCCCAAGAGTAAGGAATAAAGGGTATTATGATAGGAAATGCTATACAACATATATTTTTCACAAATATAGAGAAGTCCCTACAAATGGAGATTTGGTTATAATTCACCTATGTATTTTTGTAAGCTACAGACTAATAAAATTATTAACTTGCCTGAAAATTTATTTAAATGCTTCCTAAAGAATTTAGTGTGTTTCAAGACCTGCCTGGCATAATTTGGACCTACTTATATTCATCGCCCTCTTTTAAATAAAGTAGGATTTTGGTTTGTTTCTCACAGCTGGCTGGCATTCTTTCCTAATAATTAAGAAACTATAATGTACTGGAGCATGTAAAATCTTAATTGCTTTGAATCAGACAGAAACTAGTTCTCACATCTGTTCTTGCCCTGAAGATTTACTGAGAAACAAACAGATAGTGGCTGTGATTTATAACTTGGTAAAAATACAGGCTTTGAGGAAAATGAGTACATTTAATAGAGTAAATAGGTATGGTTTTCATTGTTGTTTTTCAATTAATTTTACATGGTGCAATTAAAAAGATGGATTGACCCAAGCATTCCTCCCACAATGAAATGATGTTTGACAGTGGATATCAATGGGTTGCTAAGAACATCCTCTCTGGCATTTTTTCTCGTTGTACTTGAAAAACCAGAAAGCACAACTGATCTAAATACAATGGCACATATGAAGAAGTTGTGTCTAGGAGTCAAGCAGGGGTTGAAATGGAAGCTATTGGGGAGGGGGAATAGGTGCCATTCAGGTTTCAAGTAAATCTTGTTGCATTGCCATATAAATACAACTTTAGTATGGAGCTACAAGCAATGAAATCCAGGAAATTAATCCTGGATTTTTAACTGTAAACAAAAGACATTATTCAGGTCTCTAAATTGCAAGCCAAGTCATTCTGCTTCATGCTTATAAAAACTCTCACTTTTGATCATGATGCATTCTCCCTTAAAGAATGAGTTCCTGTTTGTGCCACTGTTTGATTTACATAGATTGATTGCAGTTTTGTTCTTACTATCTTTTCTTCTCCTTTGCAGGTCTGTTCCTTATCCTGGGATTGATCTTGTACCCTGCTGGGTGGGGCTGTCAGAAGGCAATAAGCTATTGTGGACCTTACGCTTCTGCTTATAAACTTGGTGACTGTTCTCTGGGCTGGGCCTTCTACACTGCCATTGGTGGAACCATCCTGACATTCATCTGTGCCGTCTTTTCTGCCCAAGCTGAAATTGCAACCTCTAGTGATAAAGTACAGGAGGAAATAGAAGAGGGGAAAAGCCTTATCTGCCTCCTTTAATTATCCAAGAAAACCTTTTCACATCTCAGAAAAAATGTTTTCATAGTGGCTTCGTAGGTGGACTCCTGTGGGAAGCAATGGAGCCCCACAAGTCTTTTGGAGATCAAGCATTTGAATGTTACTTGAGGGACACTGGGGACTACAGGCAGCATAAGAAAATGTTAATGGTGAGAATTATGGCACTTGAGTACACCAGCAAGCCGACACAAGAGCGTACCTGTTGGCTTCACATTTCCATGAATAGTGCCTATTGTGGAAGCAACCAGTTCCTACTTTAGGTTCACCAGCATGAAGGATTGTGAAGGAATCCTTTGAAGGATAATGTTTCATATAAGTCACTATGGTTCTGCTATGGACATACGATGATAGAATCAGGCTGCAGCTTGAAGAGTTTTAGGCATCACATTGGTACCATCCTCCATTTACTTTTTTCAGAAAGCATGGGAAAGACATTGAAAAGCACAACAACTTAATTTGTATGCAACAGCACATTGGAAGAATGTGTTTAGGAACCATGCAGGAAGTCCAGGTGAAGCTGGTAGGAAAGTGATTTTCAGGCGTCTATAAGAAGTAGATTGCCCAGTGAAAATGTGAGGCACAGAGCGACAGCCCAAACCAAGTACAAATATATGGTGGCAGCCAGAGTTTAAGCTAAATTACTTTGGTTTCTTAGAACAGGCAAGTACTCCTGTTGTATGATTGGTTTATCTGTATAATTGTAGATAGCTAAAGGAAGTCTTAGGATCAAGAGTACATAGTACTGAATCCATGAAGGTATACCTTTAAGAGGACATGTAGGCCTTATTGACCTTCAGGAACAGTACCAAGCACAGATAATATTGGTGCTCATAGAGTACCATCAACTGCCTCATCTTCCGTTCAAGTGCAGACTGCCACTGTGCCTAAAGCAGCCACGTTATCAGCTAATGGCAAATTATATTAAGGTCTGAGTCTTTTGAAAGATCTTTTAAAAGTTATATTACATGTATAGGAAATGCTGATGATTGTAGTGTTCAATAAGTGATCCTTTCCCATTAGGCAGTTAATGTATTTATGTAATTGTTCCACAACACTTCTTTTGGGGGGGGGTGGGACCACAGTAAAATAACATAACAGTGTGCTACAGTAATGGATGTACAAGAAAAATGAAGGGATAAGTAATGGCTAATATCCAGACATTCAAGTATTAGATTAGTCCTACTAATATTTTATATTGTACATTTTGGTAGGCAGGAAAAACACAGCAGTTGGGAGGTTAAGATGCTAGATTAAAATGCTATCAAACCACTAATGATAACCACTTATTTCTACCATTTCTTCTAAAATTTTAAATATTGAAAATTCCAGTGAAAAGGAAAGTAATTTACTGTCTAAACTCAAACTCAGGATTATTGTGTGTGGCTGCTGCTTCTTTAACCACTGCTATAAGTACTCCAACAAGGCACCTGTGAATGAACAAATCACAATTACGCACATATATTTTTTGTGGGTTATTGCCATCTATAGTGATATGCTGAGTACCAGCAACACGACTGGTATCAAAACTATGAAGTGTGATTTTGGTAGTAGTCAATAAGGTAGTAGGCAGTAAGGTAGTCTTCATGCTACAGTGAGTCTACCGAACCAACCCCACCTAACCTGGAAATTCAGCAGATTGTCTTGCTGTTTACAGAAAGTGGAGAATAAATAGTGATACAAGCCATATGCAGCCTACTTTGTATGGCCAAGTACTTAACAAGCGTTAGCCCCAGGTAGGCACCAATGATTGAGTGAGGCCCCGAAGGCTATTAAATATGGTTGGGCTGATGGGCACCAACATGGCCCGGTTTAAGAAATTAGCCAAAATCAGAATGGATAAAGCTATCAATGGCTACTTGCCATGATGGCTATACATTATTTTCTGTATTGGGGCAGTATGCTTCTATAATGCAGTTGCTGCAGAAAACAAGAAGCTACCGTTTCCCTTGGGTTCTATCTGAGGATTTCCCATTGGCATCTGGTTGGCTACTGTAGAAACAGAATGCTGAGTTAGGCCTGATCCAACATGGCTTTTCTTAAGTTCTCTCATTGTATAACATGCTGGATTGTTCCACTGTGGAGTCCAACTTAGTACACATGGAGTGTCTACACTGATGTTATTTGTTCTCCTTGTTGGTACTACAACATAAAACCTTTTATGCTTGAGGTTAGAGTAAAACCAGTTTTTTTTAAAGGAGCAGAATCCTTTTTAGCTTCATTATGGACATAGGGCTAGTCCAATGTTTACATTCAGAAGTGCCAAATTAATTACAGGATATAATTTTACCACAATGCAGACAGGGAAAGTGCTCTTATAAAAATATTGCTATAACAATATGACCAGGATTGTGTTGCATGCTTATACCTGGTCTGAAGATGCACATCATTTCCAAAGTTTTCTTTAAAAAATGCAAACCAGCCAATCCCAGTTGCTCTTTAAACACCCATCTCTCAAAAAGCTATTTAGTTCTTAACCACAGCAGCAGCTTAAAAGAAAAACAGCTTTGGATAGCATATTCCCCCTTTCTGCACATTTCTGTTTAAGATGCTTTTGCACATAACTTCCATACTGCTTGAAAAGCACTTTAGGAGTCCTGTGACAGCTTTTGGAAGTGAAAACTAGGGAGGAAATTGTGTGTTCACACCTCTGGATTCCAGTTTGCATCAGGGAGAAAAGATTTCCTTTCCTCGAAAACAATTGCCAGTCTATTACAAACAATTCCCAGCATGGAATTACAGGTGGTAAAACCACCATTTAAGGACTTTGCTGAATCAGAAATGACTGTATGAGTCTGCCCAGAGAGAGAGAGAGAAACACAGAAGTTGACACAATAGCTTTCATGGAATAGAATAATAATAGGGCTCTTAAGTGTCTTTTAAGCAATTGGCTGACCCAGCAAAGTATTCCTTTAAGTAGTTGGTTTTCTATACTTCCATCTGTTGCTTTTCCTTTTTGGTCAGGGCTCCAAGGTGAGCATTCCATCGTTACACAATATATTGTGGTCTGAAACATTTAGATAAATAATTAAGTCCATGAAAAAAATTGAAGTGCCCTCAATTCACTGATGCTGCTGTAATGAACAAGGTCCACTTTACAGATACATTCCTCCTCCTTTGAGAAAGTCTAATACTAGTAACAGGGATGGGTAACATGCAGTCCTTCGGCTGTTGCTGGACTGCAGCTTTTATCAGCCTTGCAAACATGATCAATGCTAAGGGATGATAGGAGATAGTGTCTAACATTTGGAGGGCTAAATGTTTCCTGTCCCTGACCAAACAGATTATGCTTGCTGCAACACATTAATCCAGCATACCAAAGCTAATTGAATTATTGATAATCATTTTATTTGATTATGTTGATCTAAATCGAGATTTCTTTAAGTTAGGGAACAGACCTCCCCCAATACATTGAAATCCAATATGCTAATAGAAATTTTAGCTACTATTAAAGTCAAGATTTAGTTCACTATAAACTCCTATGTCCTAATTACAGTGGGTTGGCTCTGAAGAAAAACACATTTTTATGAGATTGACAGAGGCTGAGTGCCCTTCACCTCAGCAGCCCCAGCTACTAAAATCTCTTCCAAGATTCAAGGACACCCTTCCCACACACACAATCAGATAAATTGGAAGAGGTGTTTCAGGAGGCTGCCAGGAGAGGAGGCAGAGAAGGCACTTTCCATCCATTTTCCTTTGGATCCATCCTATTATCTTTGAATGTTTTTCAACAGGAAGCATGAAATTTCTAAAGTAAACTGAAAGCCCGTAATTTAGGAAGCATGTGCACATGTAACTGAGGCCCTGGTAAATGTTAGCATATAAGGTAAAAATAGACTTAATTTGTTTTCTCAAGTTGCCACTTTACTGAAATTCTATTACATCACCACCTAATGCATCAAACATAACTTGTTACAATCCTATGGCTTAAACACAGCCCAGTTTCAGAATCAGTTCATGAACAGAGTATACATCATGCTTTGAAGGGATTACAGAGTTTTTAAAAACATTTGTACCTATTTTTTATCAACAACTGCATGTTTACCTAGAAATAAGTTCTATTGCCATTCCAGAGATAACTGCATGCATGAATTAGACCAGCACACTCCTGGTAAGTTCTCAAATGAGTAGCATCCTGTGGTTTAAAAATGCTTTTGAATTTCATCTCTAAAAATGTCAAAGACACTTGGCAAAGCAGTATTTCAGTTTCAGATACAGTCTTATATCTGACTGCTACTTAATGCATATTACATTGATTGATAAAAATGGTTGGTATGTTTTAAACCTGTGTACTAGACAGATCAAAATTTAAAAGATACTTTAGTATTTCTGCAATAACTTGTTTAATCACTTTTGTAAACTTGTATTATGTTATGTACCATAAATTTTTCCAGAGGGTTCAAGAGACATAGTGTGTTTGAAGTTCAATAACGAGAATGAGGAAAAGAAATTGTTCAAAGGGGAAAAGAGTAGTGGATGCCCCATAACAAAGGTATTATGCTATTTAACATTATGTGCCAACAACATTATGTGCTCTGAAATCTCTCTTTGGAAAAAGGCAGGTTTAAAAATAATTTCAATGAAGGATTTCCAGCATCTTTTGAACTCTGGGTAATCCAGGCCTACTTATTTATAGTCTGAACTCTAAATGTGAAGGGTAACTTGATATTTAGCAACTAATGAGCTCATTAATATAAATGAGAGGAGGGAAAAAGATATGTTTGGTTTGTTAAACACAGTAAAGAACATTGCTGTTGAGCTGCATTACTAATTTAATTTGTGTACAATATAGTAATTTCTTTGCCTAATAAATGATTATTAACCCCTGATGTTTTCTGAGAAATAACTACATATTTAGCACAGGTATTAATGGTAATACTATCAGCATTCTGAAAGACATGCAAATCACATCATTTATGAAATAGAGAGTAAGATCTACATAAATAAGACTGTCAGTAAGTTCTGATTGAGTGTATAGCAATGACACTTTGTATCAGTGAAGATTTCAACTGACAGTTACAATAATTTATAATCAAAATAGGAAAACTGGCATATAGTTGGAGTTACAAAAATATGTATTACCCAATATTGATTTGAAATCCAAAATGAAAGCTGCATTCACAAGCTGCTATAGTATTGCAAAGAACACAATTGTGTGACCACTAGGTGTGGTCTAGATAGCCACGGAATTTTGGAGACCCAGCTGCCGGATTGGAAAAGCACACTGACACTGTAGCTGGGTTTCCAATGGTGGGGTGCCCTCTTCCATTCATAGGCAGCATAGAAACAACCCACTCCAGATGAATCTCTTGGGTCACAAGAGATAGAGTTACATAGAGTTTGGGGGAGGGAGGGGACAGGAAGAGAGAGGTATGCCATGACATCAAGTATCCTGGTGGTGTCTCAGTCTCTGGGCGATGCACAACACTTACACGGCAGAGATTGGTCGGCTGTTTTCTGTGGCATCCTCCATATTCCTTCTGCCCTGCAAATAAGATGTCCATAATCCTTCAAGTTCAGAAGGTTACAGTTACCCAGATTAGATTGCACTGAAACCGGTATAGATAATGCCAAGACTGGGCTACATTTTCATTGATGACCACACACTTTTAAAAATAGCAATCAAAAGGGTTCTGGAGTTACGTGTTATCCAAATACCCTTTTTTGCACATTTATTGACTTTATTCAATAAAAAAAAATCACTGATAAAATACCCCAATGAAGCTCTTTCTGCGTATGTAACTAATTAGGTAAAGGTAAGTTACAGCGTGATGCGAAGAAACTGTTTTGGGGGTCAAAGTCCACTGAATTCCCTAGACTCAGTAAACCTGCTTTCTTGTAGCCATGAGTCCAACTTCCTGGTGAGCAGGAACAAATGTTTGCACAGACACCTGTCAAGCATCAAGCAGCATCGCTTTTCAACAGATGTGATTTGCAGCCTTTGCTTGTGCTGTACATGATGTGGAAGGAGATTGCTAGTGGTACAACCGGAGTTCACGAGCCTTCACAGACTTCCTCTCAGTTTTGCTCATTTCTAAAACAGGGCTGAGAACAAGAGGAAGCCTGTGTACTGAAGAGGAACAAATTCCAGAGAGCATCATCACACTAGTGTGCTGCATATCTTACACAGCTACCCGCATCGTGTACATTTTAAAAAAAAGTAACTTACAAAGTAATTCACATATACTGCAGTTATGGTGCAAATGCATTTTAGAAGTGGGGGCTTATATAAGCCATGGGTCCTCAAACTACGGGCCACGGGCTGGATCCAGCCTGCCATGCCCATTTATCTGGCCCGCCATAGCTTGCTGCATGCGCACATGGCGAGGCACCGGCTTGCTCACAAGCTCATTTTGGACTCACTTGGAGAAAACTACCTCTGCGCATGCCCCTGCCTTGCCATGCACCTTTCAACTGCCCCCCCCCCCATTCAAAAAGTTTGAGGACCCCTGCTATAACCTTTTCATTTGAAGCAAAGCTACACTTGCTGGCTTTACATATTTCTTGCCAGGGTACATAGGCAGTATAGTCTTCTATGCTTCCCAACAACTCCTATGCATCCCTGCAGAATTATGCTGAACGCTCAGCTATTGAAGTTTTTCCCTGCCCTATGCATTGTGCAGCACACAAGTCCATATGAGACCATGAAGAAGAACAGGAATGATAGTTTCCCTGTTTTCACCTTTTCCAGACTCTCAGCAAAAGCTTGGAGGATTGGAGTTTCTTGTCAGAATTATTCTAGAAAACTTGGAAAAAAATGAGTATATGAGAGAAGCTGGCAGAGCTTGCCCTTCCCAGGCAGACAGATTTGCCTTTTCTGGAGGACCAGCACATCTTTTATCAGATTTCTGCTGTTTTCATTTCATTGCACAGACTTATGTTTGCTTTGCGAAGTTCACTATCACACACAGTGTAGGAATAAGACTTTGTGTTAAGAAAATAGAACTGGAAGAAACTGTACAATGGCATATACATCTGGACTTGGACACTTAAGGTTCATTCCAATAACATATTAAAAACTTGTATGCTTTCTGAGTTTACTTGTCATGGAAGCTTTTGAGAATCATAACTATGAGACTTCTAATCCAAACAATTACTTTCAAGTCAAATTTACATCCAAAGGATAAATGAACAGAATTCCTTTTCCACCAGGTCTATGAGTTCTGAAGCCGCTTCCAGAATCTTGCAATGAGTGTAAGTCTATGACCCACTAAAGAAGCTGCAGTTATGTACTGTGACCTACCAAACAACACAAGTGTCTGAACTGAAAGGACAAAATTAAGGTCTGCCCTCGTGGGAATGATTTCTTTATGAGGTTGCAGGCAGTATCCAAGTTAAGAACCACTCATACTTACAAATTGCCTTAAAACTTTTCCATTTAAAAAAAAATCACTGTGGAAAGTCGTCATTGCTGGGGGTGGGAGAAGCAAAAGGGGAGAGAGGGTGGTTTCCAAAGCATGCCTTCCTGCCTGCCCATCTAGAGGGGGAAAATCCTTGCTGCAAAGAGGAGGCACTGGTGAGTTGGGGGGGGTGTTAGAGATCTTGTTTTTTCCACTTTCACCAGGTTTCTGTGCTCCTTATCCCTGCAAATGTGGAGGGCTGACTATATTTGATCTGATTTACATACAAATTTGACTTAAAGACGTTTTCTCAGGAATAGAACCTGTATTCTAGAACCCAGGGACTGCCTGTCTGTCTGTGTGTGTGTGTGTGTGTGTGTGTGTACACGCCATATATACAAATCTTTAAAAAAGCTACACTAGCCACATATAGAGAGCTCTTACAGGTACATACAAGGACTTGCACATGTGTAATAGATCTTCTGACATTTTTCTTTCAGTAGCACTTAACCCTCTCAGAGCCATATCAAACATACCTTTACATTTAGATTTTGGCTTGCTGTGTGGTCCATACAGCAACCATCCTGAGACTTCTGAGGGATATTTCTTTTAATAAAATAAACTAACTAGTCCTGTAATTCTTTGGATTTTGGCCACTGTCAGTGACTAACAGTAGATACACTTGCCCTTCACAGCAGTAACAAAAATGATTCCAGTATTAAAAAAAACAGGAAAGAATATTTGTTTTCAGAGGTTTCATTTTACTTCCAACAAGTTCCCAAACAAATGTAATACTTTTAGATTTCATCAGTACCAACAAATTATTCTCCTTTTGAAGTTTCCAATTCACATCACAGAACTAAAATATGTGTAACTGGGTTTTTTGTTAAAATGAATCCCAGTTCTAATTGTACCAAGTACTTCTTGTAACAGACATACTTTTCCCACTGTAGCAGATTACAGAATTTATATACAGATTACAAAAACCAACTCCCTGACCCAGCTTTAGTTATACATAATGTGTGACTGGTAATGCCAGGATGTGGCTAGAGAATGCACATTCAATTGTACATCCCTCTAAAGTAATGTAATGCAGATGGATTGTATCTGAATGCACATCCAAGTATCAAAGCTTATTTGCACTGCCTGCCTTTCAAGCTATGTACATCCGTATTCTGCTTCTCAGGACTAGAGCTGGATCAGGACAGATGTGTGATATTTTCTGTACATGTATCAACCCCTTGCATTTTGTCTTGCCTTTTACAAAAAAACAAAAACAAAAACCCTACTTTGTTTTTAAAACTATACAGAGAAAACAATCAAGTAACATTTTTATTCTATGTCACTGAGTTAATACAATAAATATGTAGAACCTTTGAACTACCCAGACATGCAACATCAGAGGATCTGTGTGCATTTGTACAGAACCATGACATTCACCAAGATGGCAAAGCATTGTTAGTAATTTACAAAATATACAGACATCCTTCAGATAAATAACTCCAATGCCAAAATTATAGATATAACAGGCTATTGACACTCCAGTGTTCAAACTGTAATTTGAACTGAACTTGTTGCAAACTGGATACTCTAAAATGACTTAGATAATCGGCATATATTTGTTCACTGACATTTTTTAATACCATTAATTTGTTAAACATTTAACATACAACAGCCTTCTGTCAAAATGAATGTCAGAAACCAGGGACACTGCTGAGATTCACTCTGCCACTTTTGACCCAAGCCTGAATTACATTTCCACTACGTTTACATTGTCATGAATGTTGATTTATAAGAATGTAAAGAGATTAGACAGTCAACGTTATACCTTTTGTTTTTGGGATCAAAATGGTTACAAGACTACTACTAGGCCTGCATTATCTATTTCAAGTTTCAAACGGCTCTATCCCCTGAGAAAAATATATTCAAGAACCATTGTTTCTTTAGGAAAAAAAAGCAGCCATAGGTTCCTTCTACAGTTTACAGGATTAGTAACAAAAATCACCTAGGGCTACCAATGTAGGATCAAGTATGGAAATAAATGTTATCATAAACATGTGAAGGAAAGCTAAAGGCACAATCCTATGCAAGCTCAGACAAAAAAAGGTCTACCACTCCCAGAAAAAAAATTCTGGGAGCTGCAGGCTCTTATTTGTGTAAACTTGCATACGATTGTGTCCTAAAATTTTCCTCTCACTTAGCAAGGAATAAATTATACTGAATCCCACACTACATCCATGATTTTACTTGCAGAGGGCTTTAGGTACAGTATGAAACCTGTTTACAAGATGTAACTCCCACACCGTCTATTCTCCAGTATTTATTGTGGCAAAGTCATCAACCATACCCCGATCATTTATTCCTATAAGGAAATGCTTGCAATTCAAGAAATGTAAACACTGACCTAGGTATTAGACTATGCTGAATTATTTTTCTTCCAAGTAACTGTTGGGTCAGACTGTATTAACTTTAGATCAATGTTGCAACACCTTTACCCAGTATTTATAAAGTAAGAGTCCTTAATGGCAGAAATGAAATACTATTTGAAAAATTAATCCAAGATATGTTTCAGGTTACTCTCCAATAATAGTAGAATGTCAAATGGATAAAGTGTGACCTTAAAATGAGAGGCAATTAAGACTCAGAATATTATGAAAATGAATTAAAAACCACCAAGAACTGCTGTGTAATACATATAGTTGATTAGTACTGTGCTAAAAAGTCATCTTCAATTTGCATTTTATAAAATGCATTTATTCAGATGGGATCACACATGAAGGCCCAAGTATGTTAAAATAATTCAAGTACATAATTAAACGTTAGCTTTAAAAAGCCTGACGGGAGACTATGCTTGTGGTTAAAAATTTAAATAAGATACTATATATTCAGATGTTTATAGAAACAGTAAACAGAGTGACTGACAAGGCTAAAGATTTAGTACCATTGTTGAACACAAGTGCACACTTAAAAATGTCAGAATCCATAAGCACAACAAAAAAATCACCGCATTTTAACACAGGTCAAAAAGTATGAGATTGGTTGTTTCTCAAGTCATGAATACAGAAATTGAAAACAGCAAATGTAATTACACGAGTACAATTAAACATAATTAATGTTTCTTTGCTGCATGTTGTATTTTTGTGAGAATAACTGTGCTCCAAGATTTCCAAGTTAGAATACCATACACCATGAAAACAGTTTCCAATAAATACTATAATCAAAGTGCTAGAGACAAATCTGGACCAAAACACTAGCTCAGCATGGTCAAAGTTTTGTTTCATGCAAACTCAGATTTTTATCAAAAAAACCATTATCCTAAAAAAAGAATTTACATTATCTATCGTACTTATTTTAAGCTTACATCTGTCCTTCATCAGCTGCTGTAACTATGAGCAGCAGCCAAATTTTCATGTACAAGACTGTCAGCTACCCTGATTCTTATTATATAAGAAAATAGGGAAGCAAGTTATTAGGAACAAGAAGAATTAATCCATAGTGTTTATCTCAGGTCAAAACAAAAAGTTCCAGTGAGAGCTACTGACCAGAAACCATCTAAAACCTATTTAAGGTGACCCCAAAAGCTGCCATACCAACATTAGATCTACAGTTGAAATTTTCACCAAATAGAGGGTGCCTCCAAAAAACAAAAAGGAGAAAAATATGTTTAGAGCAATTTTTTGTTAGAGTAGTAGCCAGGAAATACTTCTAAATACGTGTATAAAGGAATGAAACAAGGACCTTTTCCTGTTTTAGCCCATGCACAGCTGAATAGAAGTACATGCTGTGTACATTTTTAACAAAGTCCTTAGGGAATATAAGTGACTGGAAAATAAAATATAGCCAGAACATAGTAGTGATAGTCATCTCTTTTCTCTATATTTGGTTACCCTTAAAAGCATTTTGAGCAGCACTAGTTGCTGCTGTCGATGCAGCATTGGCTGCAGCAGTTTGTACAGTTTTGTTGGACATCACTCCCGTTGCAAATTCTTGCTGGGCCTTCTCAAAACTTGCTCCAGTTGTGCGGTACAGACCATGGACCTATGAAGAAATCCAAAGTATGAGAGATGTTCAAAGACATATAAATACCTCCTGATTATATGGTATCAGTACAGTATATTGAAGGGCAAAACAGTGAAAACTTTTTGAAGACAAATTAAAATCACCACATTTAATTGTAATGCCAGCCTTATTTATCATGGGCTACCATAGTAAGGGTGGAGCTACACATTCTATGATACAACAGAGGACTGCTGCTGAAAACAGCACTATGTTGCTGAGTTTTCTCATCCCTTTACATATAGAATCACTCAGTGGCTGGCTTCAAACTTAATACTAACCCAAGGGTGTGGAGTCTACAGGGCAACAAATGTGGGCTGCACTGTCATTTGGGGTTCCACCAAAGGTGGAAGTTAGGAAGAGTCCTATTAGAGGGCACCCTCTAAAATAGGAGGTAAAAGAAGGGATTCTCTTGCAGGCATGCACCAGATTTCATACCAGCAACAGCCTCTGTCCAGACAAAGGAAACCAAAGTCTTCTGATATAAGGGGGAGGGGGAGGGGGAGGGAAATTTGGCCTCTCACCTCAAAACAGTCTGTACCTGTGCACTAACCCGAAGAATAGCTTGTTAAGTTCTGGGTAAATATGCTGTACGAACCCAGCCACACTAATAAACCATGCTTTGATAATTTTGAACAACCCAGAAAAAGAAAGTCAGGGTGCTGACCTATAAGTGTCATTCCTCGAGTGGTCAGGTGCAGAGCCGCTATGTGAGATGCACAGAGACCAGAAAGAAGAACTTGTGGTTTGGTGCTGCACTGTGTATTCTGGGTTATTTAAATGATGGGTTGCCATTACATGTGAATTCAGAGCCATGAGTTGCTCATAGAATGTGATTCGCCAGGCTACAGGGGCAAGGAGCAAGACTGGTAAAGTAAAAACAGCCTTTCCGTATCAGCACTTTAATCCCAATGGTACTCTCAATACAGGGAGGAAGGAGGCAAAGGATAAAGGAAGCAAAGAAGGAATTAAGAAAACAAATCATATTTGGTTCGACTGGCTGCGAGACAAATGTTGGGTACAGAAACCCTGGGTTAAATGAAGCATTGGTTAATATTCTGTGTGAATTAGGTCAAGTGGTGAGATGGTATCACATCACACTCTTTCCTACCTCCACTCAACACATTGGCTACTATTGGCAGGGATGTGGAAGTGTAAGATGTGATAGTATCACAGGAAGGATAACTGACTCTACAAGTCACAAGGAAGAATTATTCCTGTTGGCATCTTTGTTGGCATGTGCTTCCATCCTAAATAAAAACCAAATAGCTTAAGAGCAGGACTTTGACTATCATTAAGCATTAATGCAAGATTTGGTAAAGTTTTAAGTCAGTCAGTCAGTCAGTCAGTCAGTCAGTCAGTCAATCAATCCTTTATTCTGTCACTGACCAACCAATAAGTTTTAACTTACTACATTTCTGAACTAACCATTCAAACACTCATCTTAAACTAAACCATCTCAGTGAAGATTATGAATATGTTTGTACTTTCCTGTTACAAGCTGAGCCAAGACGGCCAGATTAAAAAAATCAAAGTTGTTTTTACTGAAGCCTCTTGATTGAAAATGAAGATATTACTATGGATAGAGCTTAACTAGGAGAGACATGGACTAAAGATCTTAGTTAGTCCATGGACTAAATATGGACTAACGCCTCAAACTTAAGAGATATACTGACTCTCTCACCTAGTTTTCAAAAACTGAAAAGATTCTAATAATCACTAAGATCTGCTATCTCTCCATGGAACTCAAAGAAGAAATGAAAGAGAACATCCTCTTCATGACTAAGGGTGCAAACATCCTTAACAAATTTACAGAAAATTAGCTCTATTAGCTCAGCAGGACTTTCCTCTGAATAAATCTGTTCTGGATTGCAGTATAAGCACTGGAATAGTTTTAATAGCTTTCTCTGGATTATACTTGGAGTCTACGCCTCCACGTCTTCAGACCTTTTAATGTGTTTCTTAATAAGAGTGAATCGTTGCCACACTCCAACAGGACTAGATAGTTTTCTCTTTTTCCTGATACTCAAGACTAGTTCTTTATGAAGCAAGGGAAACAGTTTCGAAAATCCAGGCTATATCTACTCCTTCGATTTGTTACCTGAGATTAACAGGCTAAAATCAATGTCTGGCAAAGAGTAATCTTTAAAGTTGAAACAGCTTTTTGAATGCCAAGCTTTAAAAAAAACATACTGATATAAGTAGACTTTACCTAGCCACATTTCTTGCATTAATTTTATGAAAAGTACACCTGTCATTTTTAATGGACTGTGCTTACTCAATTGTCTACAAGTTGAACTCTACATTACCTAGTCATAAGATGTAAATGCCATAGCAGTTCCCCAGCCCCCAGGTGTACTGAAACTGGTTAGGCTAATTCGGCCCATGAAGAGAATTAGAAATTGAAATCATGTGAAGTATCCCAGTGGTAGTTTCTGTATGTTTACCAGTCTCTCATTTATGGTTATTTATGTCTTGTTTCTCCTAACTCCTCCTCAAATAGTCACTATCCCTACTTGTCTATATGTCCAAATTCCTCAGAACCCCCATACTCCAAAGAGCTACCTTGGGGATTTTGATACACTCCCCCATTTAATAAGGCCCTGTGCCATTGTTAACATCTTACAGTATATTAGAATAAGGTCTCCTTGGTTTCACATATGTATTCCTTTTTTAACTTGCGAATGTAAATTATATCCATACATTTATCTTGATGCTGTATTTTAAAGTAGTAAGTTATATTCTATGTGTTAACTTTTACAGATATCTTCTGTTTTAAGGTTAAAACATTCTGAATGGCCGATATGGATATTGTCTCCCTAGTGCTTTTTTTAATACACTGCAGACTAAAAAGAAAGCAAACAAATTTTGCAAGAGCACTGACAGTGCTTCAACAGTGGTTGCTGTGTAGTAAAAGGACATCTTGGGCATGCAGAACTAGTTGCATAAATCTTTAAATCTCAGTCATAGGACTCTTATCAACTCAAGCAGCTGCTTATAATTGAGTTTCATTGTCCTTCAATTGGCAGAACAGGTGCTGCAGGTGAGTCAAGTCCCCTGCATGGCTCCCAAAAGAGTTCTGGATGGTTGGGTGGTTTCTCCCTTTCCAAAACCACAGAAATAAGAATTTGAAAAACAAAAGATGGAGGAAACCAAACAATTTCTAACTTAGACTGCTTTGCAATTATACAATTAATAATTTTAACAAAATCAAATATATAACTTGATCCATTAATATTTCCAAATATGTTGGTCTGCATATGAACAGATGTGAAATTATTTAGCAAACTCATATAACTAATATGCATATACACATACACTAAACTATCAATACCAAGAAACTGACCAGAAGAAGAACGACTTACCTTTTTAAACATAACTAGTGAGATGACTGCTGTTGCTGTGAAAAGTGCTGCTATGATTATCATCATAATGCCTATTGGAATGCTGAGGTTCAGCCCAGTGAGAGAGGAAATCCATCCACTAAGGACAAAAGAAACAACTTTCAAATGTGTTGTTCATATGGAACATCTTGTACAACCATAGTTATTAATCATAATATGATAATAATACCCTCATGGGAACATATCCTTCTCTCCAAGACAGACTACAGAAGATAATATCAAAACACAACTGAGGTGTTTAACACTTTTTTTGATAATCTTTCTCTTCTGTAAGAATGGACAGCACACACATTCTGTGCTTGTGTTAGAGGAGGGTTTGAACAGAGATAAGAACTAGTTGCTTACTCATAGGTGGTCATCTGTGCAGACACACACATAAGATACTGCACCTGCAAGAGCCTCTCTTTGAACTTCCTAAAGCTGAGACATTTAGGTGGGAAGCCCACCCTAATTCCCATCTCCCACATACCTTGATGGCAGCACTTTTACCTTCCCCTTTAGCTCTGAGATTGTTTCAGCAATACTCCTATGCAGAATTATGAAAACACACTAGAACAACTGCAGTGGGTTTGGAAGGTGGGTTGCATGACTACACAGATGCCTTCATGAAGAATTACAGTTACAGATAAGCAAGCTGTCTTCTTCTTTTGTGGTATCTGTATATACACACATGGCTTATTGAGAGGGGGAGGCAGCATTGCTTAAGGTATGCTGTAGGTAGGCTGTGACCAGGGAAGCACCTTGCACAGGTCATGGGGAGGAACACCTCTTGAAAAAGCAGCAGAGACAATGACATCCCAGTTGGAATAGTGATGGTGAGCAACAAGGCAATGGTGAACAAGATGCCAAGGCATAACAAAAGTATTTCAGAAACCCAGACAGGCAGTCTTTGTGTTGAAACAGAGGAATCATTCTTGCCTCTGTAACAAATATCAGGCAGTCTGATTAAGATAGAAATCTATCAGTGAAAAGGTGAAAAAGTCCAAAGGTGTGGTTGAGTTTGAAACGATGACAGGAAGGATAATGACAAGGTTTAAATAAAAATGTGATATGACTTTAGGCAGGAAAGTCAGATGCAGCCTCAGTACTGCCCTGTCCTTATTATAAATGGAGAATGAGAACAGATTGCAGCCAACGCTCGATGGTATGGCAATGCTCGATGAATGAGGTAAGGCCTCATTCAAGATAAAAAGGCTTATGGAAGCCTTTGCACCATCTGACTAGGGTGACAGTAACAGCAGTGGAGGTGGGAGTTGGGGTTCTACTCATCTGAGATCAGCCAAATAAAATGTGGAACAGGAGGTGGCACTCTATTCTACAGTTTAGAATTCTTTTGCAGCTCTGCAGCACCATCTACAGAACAGCATTTAGACTTGGCTTTTTTTGTAATGCATCATTGGGGGCCATCACTTGATTGCTTGTGTTTGGATCTGTAGGCTTTCAAGCTGGTGGATCCAACTGTGCAGAAACAAACCCAAGGATGGAGCCAAAGTAGAAACTAGTGGTCAGGACAGACTTAATAAAGATAGTGCTATGAGCCTACAGTCTGTAGGAGGCATTCTCTTAACACTGTGCAAAGGCCTAAGTAACAATTTCATCAAGATTGCTCATTAAAACCCTAGGAACACAAAGGTACCACGTGGCTCACACCTACAGAGAAAAGGCAAATACTATGTCCCTCAGTTGGTGGCAATTTGCTCCCTTTGTCCATATCCAAAGGGCCACAGGCTGTTGTAAGAAAACACTGTTAAAACAGCAAATCATTTAAAAGAAGGATTTATAAGAAAAGGGAAAAATAGGAAGAATAAAATTTTGGAGAGATCACTCAAGCTTCATCCTAAAAACTTAAATGAAATAGAGGAAGTCTTCAGCAGTGTTGCTGCCACAACAGCTGTCAAAGAGAAAGAACTTCCCCACAGAAGTGGAGAGCAGGGAAGGCTTCCCAGCAAAACATCTCAGATGTAGAAATGACCATGGTGGCTCTGAACAGCAGCATAGTCCCTCCTGTGTAATGCACAGAGACCAAGCACAACAGATCAAAGTTCATTGTTTCCTGTCTTATTGTATGTCAGCATTAATTGACCTATGTTATATTATACCATAATTAAAGCAAAACTTTACGTAAAAGAGTTGCAGCAACTGTACCTCATGCTAAAAGGCTTAATATCTGCCTATTTGTATTATACAACTACCTGGTTAAGCATTATTTCACTTGTACAGATACTCCTTGAGGAAAACAGGACATTAGATCATAATCTATACCATATGCTTCTGTGCCATAATGGTGGATCCTTCTGCTCCAAATTCAAATTAAAAAATGGACTGAGTTCATAGGACTGAGTTCTTTTATCAGAAATCAGATTTAAAGCTTGCAAATCATGAGTGCCTCTGCAATAACTTAAACTCAAATGCCAATCACATCCTGGGATGTATGTAGTACAGAGATCCAGAAGTTCTAATAGGAACTGCATGATGAAAAATTTCACCAAACCAGTGGTAAAAAAGCATTAAAGAAGCAACTAAGAGGCATGATAACTAGGTTCTCCCTTTTTTCCTTGTAAAATGTGGAAATGATTAAGTATTATATGGATATTTTAAAGCTACATTTGAATCTAAAACCCTGTTGACATAGTAACCTAACCACACAGATTCCAATTCATATGTTCTTAAATGCCAAATAATGTAGTTGCTCCCAGAAGAAAGGCAAATGGTGACAAGGAAATTGCTTGTCAGCAATGCAGGGGCATTCATTAAAATCCCTTACCAAGGACTATTGGCTTGCAGTTTCACTGTCTGCTCCACTTATACAACATGTTTTCATGGGAATCTACAACAGTAACACGTTTGTGAATAAATAAATGCATAATACTGTGTCTGTAGAATATCCCATCAATTTTCCAAACCATCATATGCTATCATTGAGAAGCTGCAGGATAAACCACATGGTCAAACAGCATGACCAAAAGGCTGATATGCAAATCAGAAAGCCCTTGGTTCAAATCTCTTCTTACCCATGAATATATTATGCTGCCTTAAGCAAATCATTCTCTCTCTCAAACCCTCCGCCACAAATATGGGAAAGTAGTATCCTACTTTACAAGTTGCATGCAGATAAAGCTTTTGAACATTATCAAGTAAATAAATGCAACATATTAAACAAGACAACAGTGGAATGTTTTCATCAGGATTAGAATAGGAACCATATGTATCTTCCAATTGAACTTTGGCTACCGGATGGTATAGAAAGTAACCATCATTATTACTTAATAAGTTACATAATGAAACTTTGACAAGCTACATAGTGAAACTTTGTTTCATTATTACTATGAAACAAAGTTATAATAATTGTTGTGTTTATTATAACTTCACATACATTTTATTGCTCGAGTGACTCAAGACTGATCTATAGTTAGTGATTTATGAAAGACATTCTACTCTTTTGGTGACACACAAGGTACCTGATAATCCTTTTAAATCACTAGCTGCAAGTCATTACAAGGTCTGTTCTGAAGCAATAGGAACTAAACCAAAACTTTTGGAATCAATTTCTGAGTTGTTTACCACCCAACAAGCCAGGATTCCTGACTCATCTGGCACATAAAAATCCCAGGGATAATTCTGAGGTTGTTTGGTGTATGGAAACAGGTACATGCACAAGAAGTAGCATGCATGCTTGCTAACACTATTTCCAATAGCTTACTCTTAACAAATTGCATGGTTTGAGAACTGAGTGTTCCAGATTCCTTGCACTCAGCCTTGAATTCAGGAAATCCAAGAGACTATTTTCCCCCTTTACCTTCAATATGATTGTGGCAATTATTATTATTATTATTATTATTATTATTATTATTACATTTCTATGCCGCCCCTTGCCAAAACCTCGGGGCGGCTTACAACATGATAAAATACATTGAAATACAATTATTAACCAACTTTCATAGGTACCACAGATGAAATTAGAAAAAATATTAAAAACCCAAAACACTTAAGTATAAATAAGCTGAAACAGCTATATGTAGTTTCTCCAATCCGAAACAAAAAGTAGCTCAATATTCAATAAGATTAGCATTCTTCCTGTCATTTCACCATGTTTGTTCATTGTTGTAAACCATCCAGAGAGCTTCAGCTATGGGGCAGTATAGAAATTAAGATAAATATGAAACTGATAGAATAAAATGGAGAGCATGATGACCATGGAAGCCTCTTTGGATATTCCTTGAATAGGTGGAAAATAAATGTAATAGTAGGAAAGTGAATCCCCATCAAACTATTTTGAAATGCACTTTAGCTATTCCTTGAATGATCTTGTGGAATGTTTTCCATAAACCTCTCCTATAAAGCATAAAGTGCAGTACCCCCATTAAAAGGGATTACGTTTCCTTTATATCACTTCACAAAATGTTTCTGGAGATTAAGATTTAAACAAAAGAAGCTTTAATTTCTGCTACTACTTGACAGCACGTTACATTCTTCATCAACACTATCTGTGTTTACCTCCAATGCAACTACATCAAAAGGCAGTACAGCCAACATGGCATTTGTCAGGATTACACTGTACAGTCTACAAGCAGGATCCAATGGTGGTGCAGTGCTTGGGATACTGTGCTAGCAAAAACCAACACCAGTACAAATTAGCAGCACCACAATGTTATTAGTATTTGCTAGTGTAAGGTAAGAAAGAGCAATTAGCTGCTGAATTTTTCAAGGTACTCAAGCATGGCCTCAGGACACAGTTAAAAGGCTATGACTATCTCTGTCACTGTCAGATTCAGAAGACTGCAAGGGCAGATGTTATATTTTATGAAGAAATCTCTTCCTGACCTCAATATACTATTTTTGAAGTCACTTTACTATCTTACACCTGCATAGTCATTGCTGAAGTCTGAATACTGCACATGGTCAATAAAAGTAGATTGTTGTTGTTAGTCACGAAGTCGTGTCCGACCCATCAAGACCCAATGGACAACATTCCTCCAGGCCTTCCTGTCCTCCACCATCCCCTGGAGTCCACTTAAGCTCACACCGACTACTTCAGTGACTCCATCTAGCAACCTCATTCTCTGCCGTCCCCTTCTTCTTTTGCCAACTATTGTTCCCAGCATTAGACTCTTCTCCAGGGACTCCTTCCTTCTCATTGAGTGGCCAAAGTATTTGAGTTTCATCTTCACTATCTGGCCCTCTAAAGAGCAGTCAGGGTTGATCTCCTCTAGGACTGACCAGTTTGATCGCCTTGCGGTCCCAGGGACTTGCAGGAGTCTCCTCCAGCACCACAATTCAAAGGCCTCAATCCTTTTGCGCTCAGCCTTCCTTATGGTCCAAGCTTTCACAGCCATACATTGCAACTGGGAAAACCATAGCTTTGACTATACGCACTTTTGTTGGTAGCCTGATGCCTCTGCTTTTTAGTATGCTGTCTAGATTTGCCATAGCTTTCCTCCCCAGGAGCAAGCGTCTTTTAATTTCTTGGCTGCAGTCCCCGTCTGCGGTGATCTTGGAGCCCAGGAAAATAAAATCTGCCAGTACCTCCATTTCTTCCCCATCTATTTGCCAGGAAGTGAGAGGCTCGGATGGCATGATCTTAGTTTTCTTAATGTTGAGTTTCAAGCCAACTTTTGCGTTCTCCTCCTTCACCCGCATCAAGAGGCTCTTTAGCTCCTCTTCACTTTCTGCCATGAGAGTGGTATCATCTGCATATCTGAGGTTGTTGATATTTCTCCCAGCAATCTTAATTCCAACTGGTGATTCATCTAGCTCCGCCTTTCTCATGATGTGCTCTGCATATAAGTTAAATAGGCAGGGTGACAGTATACAGCCTTGCCAAACTCCTTTCTCAATTGTGAACCAATCAGTGGTTCCATGTCCAGTTCTCACTGTTGCTTCTTGACCCGCATATATGTTTCTCAAGAGACAAATTAGTTGGTCTGGTACTCCCATCTCTTTAAGACCTTGCCACAATTTGTTGTGATCCACACAATCAAAGGTTTTGGCATAGTCAATGAAGCAGAAGTAGATGTTTTTCTGGAACTCCCTAGCTTTCTCCATGATCCAGTGTATGTTGGCAATTTGATCTCTAGTTCCTCTCCTCCTTCGAAATTCTGCCTGTACTTCTGGTAGTTCTCAGTCCACATACTGCTGGAGCCTAGCTTGTAGGATTTTGAGCATAACTTACTTTACTGAAAATAGTCTGATTTGTCTTTACAAGTGCCAATACAGGTTCAGAGAAACTAGAAACTGAGGACAGATCACACAGAACACTCAAGTTGGTAAAGGTGTCCACCATCTTCCTGTTTTACACAGTGGGCACCGTGATTTAAAGAGATTGTTATCCCATGTGCTTTGACCCCTATTTTAGAAGAATCTGCATACTAGTATGATATGCATGTGTGGCCATCTGGTACAGACTGGCCACATACAAATATGACATGGTGCCCATGGGAAAAAACTTACTGTTTTCTATTCTTCATGTAGCATTGGAGAAAGGTTTAAACCAGCTTTCAGTCAGAAAAATCAAGTACTAACGCATCAAGTACTAAAGAGTCAAAGCCCACATTTCAGCCCTGTATAGCCATCAATGCAGTGCACTGGTGTAATTCTGCAATAAACTACATGCCAAATTGCACTAAAAATGATACTCCAGAATCCCAAATTGCACTAAAAACGACACCCCATTTTCCTTCAGTTATCCCATCAACCCCAGTTGCCTTCAAGGATTTACAGAGAACGTATCAACTGCCCCAAAACACATATTGGCAACACCTTCAAACAAAACATGTGTTTCATTCCCTATATGGCCCAGCAGCATTCACTGCCTCAGAAGCCCCAACATTATTGGAGGACTTGGCTAGCTCTACAAAGCCAACAATATGTATTTACAAAAGTCTCTTAACATACAACTGGCCTGACATCCAAACACTCAGAAAAGAGTGGAGTGGGGAATTAGAATGTTACATTGAACCACACCAACAGAAAATAGCTGCATCCCATATTCCCTAACCTAAAACTGTGCCTTATACAGCAAAAGCTGCTCTTTCAGGCATATCGGACTCCATGTGCCTGTTTCAGAAAAGACTATCACCGTCTAATAAATACAGGTGATGTAGGACAGCAGAAGCATTATTAGTGCACATGAAGTGAAAATGCCCAGGGGTGGCCCCCTTCTGGACAGAAGTTGTTAAACACATCAACTTTAGATGTTCTTAGATCATAACATAAGTAAAGCTTATCCTTTAAGTGGGCCATACAAGTGCAAGTGGGCCATACAAGTGCTCATGGTAGCCAAGAGACTCAGAGATGGAAAGACAAATCATCTTCCTCAAGACCCAATGGACTGAAGACCTCACAACACTGGCATCCTGTGAGACAATATATTACTGACCACAACTACATCTCAAAACCCATTCCAACATTTGGTCATCCTACCTCAACCTATATTAATGATTTGGAACAAGAGCATTGTATATTTGTATGTGTATGTATAAGCGCATATGTATACATATTATTAGTAATACTTTCAAGACCAGTTCAATTTATCTCTGATCATTACTCTGGGGCACTTTTTTGTTTTTATGTTTTTCTTTTGTTTCCCCATTTTTCCTGTATATGTGTTTGTGGTTCTAACTCACGCTTTCTATTCTCACAGGCTTTCTGATGTTTGGTTTTGTTGAAGATTGTAAAAATCAAATAACCATGATAAGTATTAAAAATGCATGGAAAACTGGAAAAAAACCATTGCATGCACAATAACTGGTTCATTACGTACTAAAACTAATGGATTCTCATGTAAGTGTTTTGTCTACCCATACCATAGCAGCATGTTTGCATGGCATTGTATAGCAAGACCAAGTAGTTCCTTGTATTGTGTGTAGACACTGGCTTCATGTAACTTGCCACAAATAAACAACCACAAAACCAAAACCTCCACCAACAAAATATATAAGCTTATGGCAAAGAAGAGCATGGGACTAATTAGAAGACTATGACAAGGCTGCGAGTACCTTTTTCCTTCAGCAGACATCCTCTGTAATTAAAGACCAAGTACACAATGGGACACTGGGTACTAACTTCGAAGGTTCAAATCTGGAATTGTGTGAAGCTAATACTGCCCTGGCACTGCCCAGGAAAACAGGGATCAAATGCCTCCCCCCACCCTTTTAGTGCTGCTTTCCCAAGTGCTGAGCAAGAAAAATGCAAGTCTAGATGTGACAAAATAAGTTTGGAGAGAATTCCTGGAAAGGCAAGGAAGATAAATCTTCCCTCTGAAGAGCCAAAGTCACATGGTAAGGGTATGCTATGCTAACCTATATGTCAGCAATGCATGAAAAGTGGGGTTGGATGGGTCATACCATACCAGAATTGATCTCCATGGTAAATTTCTCATGTCCCATTCTCTGTATTGTATGAGGAAGCATCCATAAGACTGGAACATGCCCAAATTAAATTTGATCAGGGAGGGTGTGTGGAAAGCCACCAAATGTGTGTGTGTGTGTGCAAGGAGAAGGCCGTGCTGACAACTAATCTGTGCCATTTCAGAGATGAGAGAGTTTGGTCAGAAAGATGGAAGGACTAGTTTTCAAATAAGTGAGAAGCAAAGTTTACTTTTGAATAAAGAAGAATCATGTCTGATTATTATTGTGTCATTGGAAAAGCAAATTGCTGGTCTTGGATACAAAAATCACAGTCATGTGATTCCTGTCTTTCTGGATGGTGCCAAGGAAAAAATCCCCCGTCTTTTGTATGTCATGCACACCATGTAACATTAAGTCTCCTCTTTGATGGTTCACCTCTCTGCTGTTCACCAGCTGGCCCAGTATCACAGTGTTGTGGTTGGCAGCAGTGTTGTAGTTCATTGGCCTACAATTTATAATGCTGCTCTAACATTAGATAAGAAGCATTAGAAGTCTGTGGTCAAGAAACAGTATTTATGTATTTCATCTTTATATTGCCCAATAGCTAAGTTCTCTGGGCAGTTTTCAACATCAAGAATTTCATTTGTCACCTGTCCATCGCATGCATTTGGATAGATTGTTCATGGAAATTGTTCACTATGGAGTTTCAGCAGAAAGCCGTTGAGACAATGATGCTGCTTATAGCACACAATGATTCTGCTCAACCTCTGAAAACATTAAACGCACATGTTTCTTGGTGGGCCCTACAACATGTTGTAGTTTTTTGTAAAGGTGACATATTACTGCACCTATATTTACTGCTGAATAATACAGTAAATTACTTACCAGTTGCCCCATCCTTTGAAACCTGCAGCCTGGAGTACATGCACAGCAAATTGACAGATGTACACAAAGAAGAAAACAAAGAATCTGAAAGAACTGTCACTCCTGGAAGAGAAAGGAAAAAAGTAATATGTTTTCACAATAGTTGCCAAACATTGGAGACGATGTTCCACAACTCTACCAGAACAGCATATTCATCAACAGAAATATACAAATCCAAGTATCTTATTTAACACACAAACTGTATTTTATGGCTACAGCAGATCCCCATGGAAACACAGCTGCCTACTTTCTGGAACAGTACTCCTAAGTGCCATCTATCAGTGCAATCTTCCCAAACAATAATAATTAAACAGTGCAAGAACAGCAACAGCCAGTAAAATGTCAAACCTCAGAAGCAAAACACAAATGAAAAGGCAAATAAGACCAAAAAGCATATTAAGGAAGAAAATATATGTACATATAACAGCATTATGCAACAAGTGCTGGGAATTCTATATTATACCAAAAATTATTTTAATCATTGATAATCTACAATAATATTTTCATCAGTTTTCTATTTTGAACCTTTTCTTATTCAACTGCAGGTATACTTTATTCCAGGATTTTAAACTTGCATTCTTCCATAGCCAACATGGGTGGGGGAAATGGACTTTGTTGCTCTTAGCTGTGAGAAGATTAAAGCTGTGAAAGAGCAATTCAGGTATATAGGCTACATGAAGGAAAACACAAAATTCAGAGGCTGGCCAGAATCTGTCCTCATTACTCAGGCTGTTGTCCCTGGTCAAGAGCCTCTCCCTGCTCACCCTGTCTACCATACTATATTCACTGTACTCCTATACCAACCTGACTCTAAAAATAGACAACGTATTTTGAAAGAAAGGCTCTTTCTGGGAAGCAGAAGAGACTATGCAAGATCCATCACTGGGATCCCTTAAAGAAAGGGCTGAAAGATAGAGAGTAGATAAATAGGAGAGCTACTCATAAGCAAAACTTCTCCCTTCAGACAACTTCTTCCAATGTGTTATGTAAAGCCACCAGTGGTCAGTGAGCTAGCATGATAGGTAGGAGGTGTCACTCACTGTTCTACAGCCAGAGTGCAGCTGCATATAAACTGGGTGCCAACTCCTTCTGCCTGTTTTCTTTACCATTGGTACAAGGGCATGGGACTCTCTTCCAGCTGCTGATCACCAGCCTCGTATCTGTTACACTCCTCACTGTCTGCCTCCTTGGGAAAAAGTTGTCTGCTATTATCTAATTAGGGTTAATTAAGCAAAGTGTAGGAAGAGGGAAATGTGGTCCTGCACCAAATTAACTCAAGAGGTTATCCTTTGGAATTTTTGAAATAGTTCATCTTTTTTTGAAATCTCACTTTAGAAAAATGAAAACTACACACTAGTTTTACTCATCTGCATAAACAAATGTAATGAACAACATATGTAAAATAATTGGACTATATATAATTGTTAAGGTTATTTAAAAACAGACTGTCTGCAAGAGATGACAATATTTTTCCCTACAGTTTTGAATGCTTTAGCTATAGATTTGTATAAGAATGAGAAAGAACAATAAAATGGCTATGGATTTACATTAAAGTAGCAATAAATTAGTAACGAATTAATACATACAGTATATGAACTAAACTAGTTATTAAGAGAACCCTCTATAATCAAAACCAAACTGCAGGATTTTAAAGTATGAACACATTATTTATATTTTGGAGTGGCAAGACTCCTCTAGCTTATCCACCATTCTAAAACTAGTAAGCACTAGCAATGCCTGCAAGATGTTGATGATTGTACTTCTGCAAAGCTTTTGCAAGAAATCACATTAAAATTACAAAACCAAGTTAAATGAAATCTTAAAAAAGCAGTTAAATTATGTGATACTTTAATAAAATCCCACACTAGATTGAAATTGTTACCTGAAAGCACCATAAAGTGGTCTGTACCAGCAAACAAACGAACAAGGAGTAAAAAGCAAGAACCAGAGAATACTCAGTCCAAAGTCAACTCCTCGTGCAGGATCAAGACAAAACCAGGCCAGACATCCAAAGATGTTAAGAAATAATGTCACTGCATGGACTGCAAAAACACAGGCATGTTAAAACTGAACTAACACAACTCTATAATTATAATTAAAACTATATAAGAGCCAGTGTGGCTTAGTGATTAGAGTGTTGGACTGGGGATCTGGGAGCCCCAGGTTCTGGTCCCTGCTCATTCCCAGAACTCAAATGGGTGACTTTGGGCTAGTCACAGATGGTCAAGACTAATCTACCTCTCAGGGTTGTTGCGGTTGTGAGGATAAAACTGAGGGGAGGAAGAGGACTGTGTAAGGAAGGAAACAAATATAATAAATCAGTCAATAAATAAGAGATTAATTTGCGATTTCCATTAGTGAAATGGAAAGGGAAATGTTCCTGATGACACTCAGCTCTACCACTCATTTTTGTCTAACCCAGATGAGGTGGTAACAGATCTAAACCAGTGTCTGACTGGGGTGATGGCTAGATGAGGACCAGCAAACTGAAGCTTAAGCCAGACAAGACAGAGATGCTATTGACAGGGGCTCCCATGTCCAGATGCAGGATATTTTCCCCTGTCCTGGAAAGGGTTGCACTCTCCCAACAGGACAGAATCCTGAGCTTGGGGGTACTTCTAGACCCTGAGCTGTCCCTGGAGCACCAGGTGGGCTCAGTGGCCACAAATGCTTTTCACTAGCCATAATAAACTTCAACTTCACCAACTTCAACCATATCTGGACAGGCAGAACATAGCAACACCCTGGTAGCCTCTCAGTTGGACAATTGCAATGCACTCTATGTGAGGATGCCCCTGAAAATGGTCTGCAAGCAAAACAGAGCAACCAGATTGCTAACAAGGACTGGTGGCAGCAAACATGTAACATCAGTTCTCTTATCAGTTGCATTAGCTGCCAATTGAAGTCTGGGCTTGCTTCAAGGTGCTCATTTTAACTGATAAAGACCTAAATGGTTTAGGACCTGAATATCTGAAGAAATGTCTCTCTGTGTAAGCCCACCAGGATCCTAAGATCTTCATCAAAGGTCCTGCTTTGGGAACTGCCTTTAAAGGATGCTAGGAAGGTGGCTACCCAGGGTATGGCTTTTTCAATTGTAGCACTACATATGTGGAATCGGCTCCCCAGAGATGTGTGCCAGGCACCTTCTTTGTACACATTTTGGCACCAGGCAAAGGCTTTTGCACTTTTGAAGTATTTTAATTGTTGACAGTTTTAATTCTAATTTAATTTTAATTCTAGGCTATCTTAATTGATGAATTTTAATATTTTAATTGCTGTTTATAAGATGCTGTCCAATCTGTTAGTGTATGATGTCAACACAGTTGGTGCTCCTGCTTTTGGAATAGATGTTTTTATTGGTACAGATGTTTTACTACAGGATATGTTAATATTTTGGTTCTTATCTTTTGTCGATATTTTTAATGTGCAACCTGTTCAGAGAACCATGTGGCTATTCTAACAGTCTATAAAAATGTAAATAAATAAAAATTTGAAAGCCAGTATGTGTTAATTGTTAGAAGCCTCTGTTAATATGCATATATTTCAGGAAACAGATTAATTAGAAGGAAAGACAACTGATTCAAAGCAGAAATTCAAGAATAGTCTCTTTCCTGGCAATGTAAGCCCCCATGATTTAAATTAATCCCCACTAAGTATGATGATTTGGTTTACAAGATTTTTGTAAGAAGTATTTTTTTAATTAAAAAAAATACTTTAAAGCAGCAAGCATTGAAATAGATTAATTGCAGAGATGTTTGTAAAATCATGACAGATTGAGCACCACTGATTTTTTCCCTGATAAAAAATAATTCTCTATTACTAGCAAACTTAGCAAACAGCATTTCTTGTTTTAATAGTTAACAGTTCTGCAATAATTACTGGGTACACTTATTTTTTGCAGATACTATATAATTTTCTGAGGGCCAGGCCAGTGAACACATATAGGAATACCACTGTACCCTATAATTAGTTATACTGAAAGAATACAATGCTTAAGTCATTTGCAAGTTCTTATAAACTGTTAACTTACCTCCCTCCATTTTTTAAGGATTGGAAACCTTGCACATTATATTTATTCTAACAACAAACTTTACATATAAGCTTAGAAAGTTAATTTGTTCATATCACTCTACTGTTAAGGGAAATTTCTAGTAAAACATTGTCTCATTGGAAATTAGGCATTGCCAGCTACTCAGTAATCATTCTACCACGTGCTCAATATACTGTAAAAGAGAAAGATTACTGCACTGTTCCATGAGAGGAAAAGAAATTGAAAACATTGAAAACAGTCAGCCAATGCCTTTATTAGGACCAACTAAACTGTTAAAAAGAACTGTAGAAGTTTCTGCATTCTCTAGAGCCCTTTTGCAAGCTAGCTGGTACAAAAAAAGCAAAGGATAAAAAGTTGGTACTATTAAAAGGTTTTGCCCAAGTATGAATTTTAGATATACATGTGCTGCTGGCAAACGTATTTCCATATATTATATCCACACCCCCAAATTTCAGTAGAGTAAAAGCACATTCTTGTAGAGGCTAACACAATTACTCTGTAACTTCAGGGAATCTTATCTGTCTAGATGACATGACTGAAACAAAGTAGTGGTATGCTTACATGAAGAAGCTTATGTCAACACAATTGAAAGAAGAACATGCAATTATATGATAGTGGACAAAGTGTCCTGGTGGGTATAAGCAAATCTATATCACTTTACACTTGTTTACATCAGACCACATTTGCCATTTTGGTGCCCACTGTCCCACCTTGGGGAGACTCTTTTAAAGCGCTTCACAATCCTTTTTTGTTTTATTCGCCCTTACCAATTTGGTGTCATCAGCAAACGTGACCACCTCACTGCTCACTCAATGTAAGCAATGACCACCTCAATTCCAGATCATTCAGGAACAAATTAAAAAGCACTTGTCCCAACATAGATCCCTGTGGGATTCTTAAGTAGCATTGCTCAAACCTCAAACAAGTTTCACTTTAGATCTTAACCCTAAGTATATTTGCCAAGCAGTAAATGTTATTGAGCCTAATGGAACTTAATTTAACATAACTGCTTTTAGCCTCAGCGTATACAAACCAAATCCCATACACCATACAAGTTGAACTAAATTGGGTTTAAGAGCCTTCGTATCAGTTGCAGGACTCAGTTGCCAACCTAACATTGCTACAGCATAAGCATCTGCTGCTAATCCAGCTTCAGCACTGCCCTGCTGTGCTAAATAAGGACAAAGACCACCATGGAACACTACAACCTAGCAGCTAAAAAGTCATTAGGGTGGAAGCTGAGACAAGGTAGCAGAGCAATAAGTACCCCAGGATGAGAGTTTCCTTGACAGAGAGGCTTTTTTGGCTGATTCCCCCAAGCTCCCCAGATCCTAGCTGCTACCTTAGCAGAAGCTGCACAAAACAGTGTAAGAGGACTGATAAGTTTGGGCTTCTCATTAAAATGTGCATTTTAAGTATGTAGAATCACAAAAGTTCAGAGAAACACATACCAGCAGCAACTACTCATATATCCCACAAAGCTGGAAGGAAGAAACCATGCAAGCTATCTGCTAGGCACCTATCCACCTTGTACATCAACCAACTCCCCATAATTTAGTACACTGCTATTTCAGCTTTCTCTAATGCTGCCATAGAACTGCAGCCTGAAGGAGAGAAGATAAGCCAAACATACTTGCTACCCAAATTCCAACTGACACATATCCATGCAGTAATATAGAAACATTCTAGCAAGCAGAGATACTTGGAAAGGAAGCATGACGCAAGGGACTTAACAGTGGTGTGCATGTTATTTATGTGACAGACTTGAATTGGGAGAAAATATATTGCTGCAGATCTATTTCACTGATAGCCACGCCTGGACAGGAGATATACTTTAACAGTTTACAAATATTAATGCAGACCACTGCCATGCTTATGCAAACAGTTCAGCTTCTAAAGAAAACTGGGGAAAAGTTTGGTATCTGTATATTATGTGTTGAATGTACATATGTCTTTCCATGAATGGAAGGGTTCTTTCCCTTAGTATAATATTCCAATACTTTCAAATGTCTTAAAATGTCATTTTCATCCCTGAATCTCAGAAAATGGAGTGATTTTTAACACTGACATAAACTCTATGTAAACTAAATATTGAAATTCTAATACATATATTCCGTAGACTTTACTTACACATCCACAAGTAGTACATAATCTTTACTGTTTTCTGGAACTCTACAGGGATGTCTACAGAGAAATCCTGGTAAAAACAGGGACCCACTGGGAAATTTCCAGGTAGTGGTGGCCAGTTGTTCTTTCTTCCTATAAGAGTAGAAAGTAAAATTTGACATAATGTTAAGGATCATGTCACCCATTTCATTTTAATAACTACTGAAGAGAGGTTCATAGATTTTCTACTACTCAAGCAAGTTGTACGCTGCTTAGACTACACACACTTTCCTACCAAGATTATCATCAGAAATACAATAGGCTGGAAATACCTTCAACTAAGACCTCAATCATATACTGAAATAGTAGTGAAGGAATTACTGATTTTCTCTGACACTGCTAAGGAGGAGTTCATAAATACAGGCTTTAAATTCAAAATCAACAAACTCCAGCCTACAAACCCAGTATGGCCTGTAGTTCTGCCATTTTGACTCGTCATCTCCCTTCATGATCCATGTACAGCCTCTGCACCGCAATCAGGTTTTTAAACATCCCTAATCCATGCCAATGAATGTCTAAAAGTCTGAATTCCATACATGAAGAACACATGTTTGGGGTTTAGGTTTAATACCTACCCAGGTAATAGCTACTCAGACCCTGAAGTCATATTTGGAAGCTGCCTGCAAAGGAAGTGTGGGTAGCAGCTACCAAGAGAAGGTACTTTTCACAGTTGCAGCACCCCAAAGGAGGTGTGCCTCGTACCTATTCTGTATTCTTTCCGGTGCCAAGTGAAAACCTTTTTTATTTTCCCTATATTTAGCAGTTAATTTTTAAACTGTAGTTTTAATAATGCATTTTATCCTGTACTCTTGCCATGCCCCTGTGCTAATTTGGTTACAATTGCTGTGGTTTTATTATTTTTTCTCTTTCTTTGTATGTTTTTAAGTTTTGAGAGTGCCTTGGCTATTGGGTAGTATAAACAGACTGTAAGAGTAGCTGTGCATGATCAGACCAAGGCCCAGCCAGGCTAGCATTCTGCTCACTCAGTGGCCAACGTGCTGCCCACAGGTGGGAAATGAGTGCAACAGCACCATCCTAGCCATGTTCCCCAGCAACTGGTATATGTAGGCATACTTCCTTTGACACTATTAGTAGCATGCAGCCATTGTGACAGCCAGCCAATGATAACTTATTTGTCATGAATTTGTCCAATTCCCTTTTAAAGCTATCCAAATTGGTAGGCATCACTATATCTTGTGGTAGTAATTTCCAAGGTTTTACTACATGTGAAGTACTTCCTTTTATCTATCTTGAATTTCCCATCAATCAGTGTCATATGATGACCCTGTGATTTCAAATTATGCAATACGAAGAAAAGTGTCACCCTATTCACCTTTTTGACACCATGTATAGTTTTGTACACCTCTCTTATGTCTTTCCTATGCTAAACAGCCCCATATCTTGTAATTTTTCTTCATAGGAAAGGTGTTCCAGTGCCTTGAAGATTTAAGTTACTCTTTTCTGCACACCTCCAGTATCTTTTTAGGTGAATTTGTAGAGCTATACAGAATACAAGTGTTCCAAGTGTGGATGCACCATAAATCTGTAAAAAGGAAACATATTATAGACAATTTTGTTTTTGATTCCTTTCCTAATAATGCCAAACATGGAATCTGCATTTTGTTCACAGAAGCCACAGACTGGGTTCATATTTTCATCAAGCTGTCTACCACATCCCCAAGATCTCTTTCTTGGTCATTCACTGCTAGTTCAAATCTCATCAGTTGTGTATGAAGTTGGCAGACTTTGTCCAAATGTGCATTAGTGTATACTTGCTTACATCAGTCTACATTTGCCATTTTGGTGCCCATTCTCCCAGCTTAGAGACACCTTTTGGTTTGTTTCACAATCCTTTTTGTTTTAACCACCTTAAATATTGTAGCATCATTGGTAAACCTGGCCTCCTCACTACTCACTTGTAATTCTAGATCATTTAGGAATAAGTTGAAAAGAACTTGCCTTAAAAAGATCCCTGTCAGATTGCACTATTTACACCCCGCTGTTGGGAAAATGTATCATTAATTCCTGTGTTCTACTTTCTGTTCTTTAACCAGTCCCTGATCCATGAGAGGATCCCACCTCTTCCTGCACTCTCAGAGCCCTTTGGTGACAGAATTTGTCAGAAGACTTTTAGAAGACCAACTAAACAGGATCACTCCTGTTCACATGTTTATTAAAACACTCAAAGAATTCTAAAATGTTAATGAGACAGAACTTACCTTGGTGAAATCATGATTATTCGTTTTCAGCAGGCTTTGTCTAAGCTTGTTAATTTCATCTTTAATAATGTTTTCAACCAATTCACCAAGAACGGCAGTTAATCTAATTGCCTTGCAGTTTTACTGATTGTTTCCCCAAATTATTATTTTTAAATACATTACATTGGCCATTCTGCAATCCTCTGCTATAGAGGCTGATCTTAGCGTATTTTAAATATGTTAGCATGAAGATGAAAAATTCCAGATTTGAGTTCTTTAAGAAATGTAGAATGGACAATGCTGAAAATTTAATCTTTTGTCACAATTATTTTATCAGTTCCTCAGATGCTGCAGCAAAAACAGATGAAAAGGATTCATTCACTTTCATTACAATCTCCTTATCCTCCTTTAGTACTGGACTCCATTACTATCCAACATTCCAACTGTATCCTTATCTGGCTTTCCTGTTTCTAACCTATTTAAAGAATTATTTGTTGTTGACCTTAATGTTGTTATTATTTATATGTTTCTCAAAATGTTTTTTGATGTCTCTTCTTGTCTGCCAGCATCTTCTCTGCAAAGGTCTGTTGCTTTCTTTCATTTTCCTCATTTGGGCAAGTCTTTCATTTTCTGAAGGAAACCTTCTTTTCTCAAGTAACTTCGTTGATTTGGCTCATTAATCATGCTGGTGATCTCATGGTTGGTGTTTCCTTCTCTAACCTGTAGTATATATTTTAGAAACTGTGGTAGATCTAGGAACTAGATCCAACTTCTGCCTACTTCTGCTCTAAGTAAGAAAGTAGATAGTGGCTAGATACTTGCATTTTACACTAGTGAGCCTTTCCAAGTCAAATAAGTATGGAAACCTTCTTCTCTTTCATCTGCTGTAGCCTGCCACTGGGGAGGGATGATAGAGACTGAGAGCCAAAAAATGTGCAGAGCCAACAGTTGCCCTTTCCTGCTTTGCAGAGGCAAGCATCATACTTGAAGAACCATAGCCTTAGTTGAATACAATATAGGACTGTAATGACATAACAAAAAAGACTGCCATATTTTCATGCTCTGGTTTCAACAAAAACAGACAAGCATCCAATTGAATTTTCACTTCTGTTTTAAAAGAAGACTGATCGGGACCTAAAATCTCAGCCATTAATTATAGAAACATGCCTGCAGTTTTGTTTTTGTTTTGTTTTGTTAACATGAAGCCATACCTCCCTGCTGGTTGAGACTCTGCATTTCTCTTTCCCTGCGATCTAGTTCAGCTGCTTTTCTTTCTAATTCTTCCTGACGTTTAAGTAGCTCAGCTTGAGCTAAGGCATGTTCCTGAGGATACAGAAATGAGAAATCAGCATCAACAAAATCAAAGCACCAAAACAAATTTAATTCCACATGTTTAAGTTTCATTTATCAATAAAATTAAATATACCTTTGCAATTTGAGTATAAGCAGGGGGTTCCTCAGTAGGTTTCATTATAGCTGGTTGTGTGCTGGGCACATTGGGAATCTTGACATTTCCTGGTGGTGGCTATGGGGAAAAAAGAACATAATTTTGGAACGGTTCTTGGAAACTTTCAGATAATTATCTTACAGTCTAATTATAAAGGACTATGATGCAAAGATCACCTATTCTGTAATTAGCTAAACGGACAACTCTGCATATTTTGTATTCCATAAACTGTATCAATAGTCAAGCTGGAGCATACAATGTCTTTCCACACAGCTAGATCCATTAAACCAAGTGCACACATTTCAATATTAAAAGGTATTAACATATCTTGGCCCCAGTAAGTTTTACTAGGACTGTATAAAGCACCATGTTTTGAAGGAGAAAAAAAGCACATTAGATGTCATATTCATAGCAGGTGTCATCACAACAAACCATGATTTGCTGCCAAATCATGACTTGCTTCTGGCCTCCTGTGTGTTTGGCTGCAGAGGTTTCTTAAACCACAGTTTGTCTAATAAAGCAAAATCTGAACATGATTTGCAATCATGGTTTCCAGAAAATCCTTAAAATACAGTTTCTCATTTCAAACATGATTGAAACTTAGCAACTGCTAATTTTTATTTTCTTCAGCAGCCCTGTGTATTTCATTAAGTCCACTCTTCAAGAAGTGTTTGGTTGGCAGAACCATTTTAAGCTTACCTCAAATTTGGCAACAGCCTGAGAGAACAAGTATCTGCATGAACCTCTTTAGAATTTCACTACTAGTTAAATCCATATTCACACTTACTAGCAAGTTAATATAGTGGTTGATTTAGTTTTAAGTAAACTAAAAGCACATGGAGTTAGGAAAAAAAAACTACTTGTAAGCTGAGTACAAGCCAAGTACCATATAGCCCAGGTCTGTCGAACTCAAAAAAAGCACAATACCCCATCCAGCAAATCCTAAGAGCAAGGCTCAGTTTTTTCACTCTAAGTAAGCAGGGATGGAAGTGCCCAGAAAAGCACAAGAAAGATATTTTCTAAAGATACTGTTCACCATACTATTCTGACATCCTTTCACATCTTGGCTCCGAAACCTTTTCCCAACCATCAGCACTGCCCACTATTTCCAACTTTCCCCACCACCCTGAAGCTTCTACTTTTCAATAGCATTACCCATCATTAAACAATTTTATATGCCTAGTTTTGTTGCCTCCATATTTGTAGACTCCAAAGTGATGAGTACACCTGTCTCTCTATAGAGAAAATGAAGGAGACAAAAGTATTCTGTCAAGAGTCATCATTGTTACATGTATTTGTTTGTTTCATTATTAATGGAAGTGATGTTCCACCAAGTTCCCATTCTTTTATACTCAACAGCATTTTTTTTAAAGTATAAGGCCTTAACCACCCAGAAAGCATGCATTCCTATTCTGAAAATACTGAAATAGCTTTAGTTATTTTACACATATGTGTGCATGCAAAACTGACATCATAAGCCACCTTACACCAAGTCAGGCCATTACCAATACTATCAACTCTCACTGGCAGGAGCTCTCCGTGTTGTAAAGCAAAGATCTTCCACATCATTTTTAAACAGAAAATGCTGTGGATCTTCTATATGCAAAACATGTAGTTAGTACAGAGCTACTAAAAAGCAGTACCATATACAATATGGCAACCAATATACCACAACATGGATCTTTGGTCTTTTCCCCCTCTTTGGATAAAGAGGGAAATTTAAAAGGCATCTGTGATACGACATAAGAATTTGTCATTCAAAATCAACATTTTAGCAGGCACACCTACTAAACACTTTGCTCTTGGAGATTTTGTTCTATACAAAAGTTGGAAAAAGACATACTATGCATTTATATTAGTGTACAAAACAAGGTTTGAATGCAAATAACTGTGAGTGAAAGGGAGACGTTTTATTACACTGTTCAGTGAATTATTTGCAAGAAAAAACAGAATTTCTTACTGGGCAGCACCACAATTGTAACACATTTACTTAGTATTTACTTAGTACAATGGTAGTCTGCCATTGTTCAGCAATCGGAATAGAAACATAGAAACAGAGCAAGTCAGAAGGGGCCTCCCAGGCCATCTAGTTTGATCCCCGGCTCCAGCCGGATCCGCTCACAACATGCCCACCATGTGCATGTCAAGGAATCTTCCTAGGCAAGCTTCTATCCAGGCACACCAAGCATCTTTATTTTTAGAAAAATTTAATTTAATTTAATACAACATTTTTATCCCGTCTTTTCACTAAATGTCTCAATATGGGGAAAGATGGCTACATCTTGTGCTCTGAGACCATTAGAAAGTTTAGAAGGAAAATATAAGCTGCAGTGTATGAACTCATGGGACATTAAAAAGTCATGCACAATTTTATGCCAAGTCTTACACAACGCCTTCTAGAAACATTTCTAGATTTTGAGTTCCTTTTCTCATCCAATGCTTACAATCATACAGGAGGCTTTCAGCCAGTGAAAGAGCACCTCCAACTTTTACCCACTATATGTTTTTTCAAGAAAAGGTAATACAAGAATACTATTGGGAATTTTGCATAGCTGTTGATTCTGGTTCCCAGGGATGGTCGAAATTTTTCAAGTGCTGTATTTTTCTGTGAAAAATATCCATTCCTTAACTTTGTTAGCAACGATGAATGTATACAAATTGCAAATACACCATCAGGCAAGCTTGGCAGTTTCAGTGTTGCAATCAATGTTTCACTGATTCTCCCAAGTAGTTATGTGAGAGAATATATGTATGCCATTTGAAATACACATGTCTCAGTGCCAGATGAAGCCATTAGTAACTATGAACATTCATGCCATTTACAAATATAGTATTGGGGACGCTTGGCAGTTTCAAAAGTGTAACTAATGTATTTCAGCTGATTAGCCCTAACAAGTATGAGAAATAATCCATATATGCCACTGAAATACATGTATTAAATGCATATTCCTCAATCTGGGATGGAGGTAATGAACAGCAACAACAAAACTTAGGATGCCTCAACAACCTTAGCAAGAAGACAAGTGAACACTGTTGAAATAGATTAGTGGTTGTCAGCATATCATACACAGTTCACTGAGTTGCTAAAATAAATTAGTGAACCAACCATTTTAAGTACCTTTTTCCTTAAATGTAAACAGTGTAAAGGAAGCACAAGTTGCTGTAAAATCTTAAAGTACTCTACTTAAAACAAAAATGAACATACTATTAAGATCGTATTATAAGAGCAAGTTTCCCCCTTGCCAAAACACAAAAAACAATCATTGATCAGCAAGCAAACAAACACTAAACATAAAGCTGATAATAAATCCAATTAACTCCTTAAGTAAAGCTGGCTGTGGAGGAATCAGAACAGCCTGCATTTATACTTATACATTATATACATATAAATATCTATAATATTTATGGAAGAAAAATGGCACTGCTACTTTGAGAATCTGGAATCTCTTACCTAGATCTTGATAGATAAAACTAACAAAAAAAATGTTGGGTATCTGATAGAAATTCAGGCAGCAGTCCTTGCTCTTGTAAACAGTCAGAAATCTCTTTTATGTAATCAGGGTATAACATTATTTTATTATTGCTCATGTCCTAGAGAAATTCCACCTTCTGTTTGCTCATATGCAGCAGATATTCTTTAACCAAGGCTCATACAATTTGACTAATGATAGGCCCCATTCTGGATCCAACAAAGGAACTGGGAACATCAAACTGAAAATCCTGAGGAAGTGCAAATAACTCAGATTAGCCTGTCCAAGAACAAAACCAGATGAGTTCAGTAAGCGGCACTTTTAAACCAAACACGCACAAATTAGATCTCTAAAATAACACTTCCAATTGAGAAATATGAGAAAATAATACACTGAAATGCAACCATTGCTGTTTCATGATTTTTGATATGTTCCTCAAAAATATTGGGTTTGGAATCTATTGCTTTGAGATGAGCCATGAACATTTTTGAAGGAATTGTGTAAAATCCCAAACTGTTTGGCCTGCTGACTGGAGTACTGACATAACTGCTGTAAAATGTATGTCTGCAGAGTCAAAACATCTTCCCATGCACATTTTGCTTTTGAAACCATAACAGAAGGCAACACTGGTGGAGTTGAAAGAGTTGCAGAAATTTTCTTAATACTTATCAAACAGCTCACTGAATCTCAATAAGCAGGTAAAGAAGTAAATTAAAACAAAAATTATACATGAGACGAAGACAACATAACACTCTAAAAGGCATTTAAACCCTTTTTAAAAATGGAAGCAGCAGGACTCAGTGTGATCATGCTGGCATCTCAAAACATATGTTCTCCCATATTTTAATCCTTTAACAATTTTACTCGCCTTTAATATCAGTGTGATATATTTTATTGTTGTTATATACTTCTTTTTTTAAAGTTTATTATCTGTATATCTCTGACAAAACGTGATCCACTGGAGAAGGAAATGGCAACCCACTCCAGTATCTTTGCCATGAAAACCCCATGGACAATACCAAAAGGCAAAAAGTTATGACGCAGGAAGATGAGCCCCTCAGGTCGGAAGGTGTCCAATATGCTACTGGGGAAGAGCAGAGGGTGGCTTAGATCATGAGCTTCTGGTCGCAAAATTTAGGCTTAAGTTGAAGAAAGTAGGGAAAAGCACTAGGCCACTCAGGTATGACCTAAATCATATCCCTGATGAATATACAGTAGAGGTGACAAATAGATTTAAGGAATTAGATCTGATAGACAGAGTACCTGAAGAACTATGGACGGAGGTTCGCAACATTGTATAAGAGGCAGCAACTAAAACCATCCCAAAGAAAAAGAAATGCAAGAAAGCAAAATGGCTGTCTGAGGAAGCTTTACAAATAGCTGAGGAAAGAAGGGAGGCGAAAGGCAAGGGGGAAAGAGAAAGATACAAACAACTGAATGCAGAATTCCAGAGAACAGCTAGAAGAGATATGAATGCCTTCTTAAATGAACAGTACAAAGAAATAGAAGAAAACAACAGAATAGGGAGGACCAGAGATCTCTTCAAGAAAATTGGATATATGAAGGGAACATTTCATGCAAAGATGGGCATGATAAAGGACCAAAATG